ATATATATAAATTTTCTTTGTCTCTCTCTCTGTATATATCTGTATATATATATATATATATATATATATATATATATATATATATATATATATATATATATATATGTATATAAATTTCTTTGTCTCTCTCTCTGTATATATCTGTATATATATATATATATATATATATATATATATATATATATAAATTTTCTTTGTCTCTCTCTCTTTCTCCCTCTCCCTCTGTCTCTCCCTCCCTCTATATCTATTATTTTCTCCGTCTCTGTCTGTCATTCTCTTTCTCCCTCCCTCTTCCTTCCTTCATGCCTTTCCTCCTTCCCTCCTTCCTTCCCTCCCTCTTTCCTTCCTTCCTTCCTTCCTTCGTTCATTCATTTTCTCCCTCCCTCCCTGCCTTCCTCCCATCCATCCTCCCTTCCCCTCTCTTCTTGTATGCATAGAACTGCCTCAATAAATTCTACGCACCGATTGGCACCTCGACCGATAATTATAAAAAAGAGATAAAGTTCGATAACAAATCATACGGTTTCATGAAGTCTAAGTCGTTTGTATCGGAATCGGAGAGAGACGCTTAGCCGGAGAAAATTTTCATTATCGGAATCCACCTTTCCTTGTTAAAATAAAGAAAAATAAAGAGAAAAAAAATGGATAGATATAAATTTTTTTAAAATTAGGGGAGGTGGGGAGGTAAGATAGGGGGGAGGTAAAGGAGAAAAGGGAGAGGAAGGGAAGAGTTAAAAAAAAAAAAATGACTTTCCTTCCTCCCATCGTTCGATCCTTCGATACTTCCTTCGATCTTCCCTCCCTGACTTCGCGGGACCCGTAGAAAGGGGGCGGCAGAACGACTCGAACTCGCGATGGGGAAGGACGCGACCAAGGGCGGCGGAGGCGGCGGCGGCGGCGAGGGGGAGTGGCCCTCGAAGCCAGCCCGAGACGACGCCGTCCGAAGGCCGGACTCCCCCTCCCCCTTCTCCGGCGTCCCGATTCTGGTCGACCCTGCTACCGGAGCGCCGATTCTCGTGGCGCCCTCCCGCGGCAGGGGCTTCATCGTGGCTCCTCCGAGGTCGCCGATTCTTGTGGCTCCGGCTCCTGCGACGCCCGAGGTGGAGGAGAAGGTGGAGAAGGTGGACTTCGAGGCGAAGGCCCTGGAGGCGCTCTTGAGTGAGTGGCGCGGTTCATGGGGCGGATTACGGAGCCTTTTCCTTCTTTCTTATTCTTATTCATTTTTTTTTCCCCTCTGTTCTGTTTTTTTTTTTTGGGGGGGGAGGGGGCATTCACTCATTTCCTTTTTCCTTTTGGGTATTTTGTATCTTTCATTCGTATTACCATACTTTTCTTCTTTTTTTTTTTACCGTTTTCATGTTTGTTTGTTTTTTCTCCTCCTGTTTTCTTTTTAAGCCATTCGCATTATCATGTTGTTTTTTTTCAAGTCTTCTCTTATCATGTCCTATCTATGTCTTTCGTTTAGTCGTGTTCTGTTTTCGTTATAATTTTCGCAATTATTGTACGTAATCGTATCATGAACATTATTTAGTTATCTGTACATCATATGGTCGTTAGTCACATGAAAGGTTTTGAATTATTAGTATAAGAGCGAAGGAGAGGGAAAGGGAAAGGGAGGGGGAGAGGGAGAGGAAGAGGAAGAAGATAAGGAAGAGGAAGCAGGAGGGGGGGAGGTTAAGGGAGAGGGAGAAGGAGGACGAGGGAAAGGGAAAGGGAGAGGGAAGGGAAAAGGAACGGGAAAGGGAGGGGGAAAGAGATGGAGAGGGAGAGAGGTTGTCATTCTCAGTTTTAATCTCTCTCTCCTCTCGCTCTCTCTCTCCTCTCTCTCTCTCTCTCACTCTCGTCCTCTCTTCTTTTTGTCTCTCTCTCCTCTCTCCCCTCCTCTCTCTCTCTCTCTCTCTCTCGTCATTTTCATTGTCATTCTCACTTTTTAATCTCTCTCTCTCTCCTCTCTCTCACTTCTCTCTCTCTCTCTCATCTCTCCTCGCTCTCTCTCTTTTCTCTACTCTCTCTCTCTCTCTCTCTCATCATTTTTTTTTTGGTTTTTTCCCCCCCATTGTCATTCTCAATCTTTTAATCTCTCCCTCTCTCTCTCTCTCTCTCTCGCGAGGTTCATCTCTCATCTCTCTCTCTCTATCGTTCTCTCCTCTCTCTCCTCTCTCTCTCTCTCTCTCTCTCTCTCTCTCTCTCTCTCTCTCTCTCTCTCTCTCTCTCTCTCTCTCTCTCTCTCTCTCTCTCTCTCTCTCTCTCTCTCTCTCTCTCTCTCTCTCTCTCTCTCTCTCTCTCTCTCTCTCTTATCTCTCTCTCTCTCTCTCTCTCTCTCTCTCTCTCACATACATGTAATTGTTAGTCCCTTCACCTGACACCCACCTAAACCTAATTAACTCAAGGAATTACTCATCAAAACAGCTGCCGTGTCTTTAGGAATCGTTGCGGCAGAATTCATTATGCATAATTATGTAATTGAATTATAATTATTTTTTTTCTTTTCTATTTTCAG